CTTTTCGTCACACAACTTGAATCTTTAAAAAAATGTGTTGCACTCCTGACCATAGAAATATGGATCTGAAGCACAGACAAATCCTGTAATTGATAAATCTATTTGGTAAAAATGTTCTTTGTGTCTTTATTTACCAAAATAAAAATCAGAAAATCATATAATGATAATAGTTTTTTATGCTTGGGAGCAAAACATCAAATGTTGCACTCCTGACATTTTTGGGTATGCACATATACTTGACTCTCATTAATGCTGCTTGTGATTTATATAAAATTTTTAAGTTCTAAAATGTATATTAGTTATTATTTTACACTTCCAAAATTCTTTTTTGTCTTAATTTTCTATCAGAATTTTACAATTGATGTTTTTTTGGCAACACTACATTTTTTCTGTTGCACTCCTGACATGGTATAACATTTTTTTTAAACATCAGCCATGACCACAACCTGATTAAACAAAAGTTATGACAGTCCACATTTAAAGCTCAATACTTTGAATATTATCAGGAAAGTCTTTATTTTCAACATGAAGCATTATTTTTTATTTCACAGATCTCCAAAAAATATTGAAATTTCAAAATGTCACAAAAAGGTGTTGCACTCCTGACAATTTTAGCATCATTTTTGGGCATAACTTTTTTGTTAATTGAGATATCAATGAGATACTTGGCAGGTATTTAGACACTATCTAAAGACATATGTTGAGACATAGAAATCTATTTTCATTGCCTGTATTTTTAGTGTGGGTTGATAAATATGTGTTTGGTCTTTTTTTTTTAATTCACCCAAATTGTACATACGTAGAACATGCTCTTGCGTATCGAATCAACTGAGAGATATAAACCCTGTATGCAGATGATGAAGGTATATTGCTGCATAAGTAAGGGAAATTGACGATTGAAAAGATAAAGTCATCATGTTTATCATAAAGCTTGGTTGTTAGATTACCATTAACGTATTTTTCAAGTAAAATATCCAAATATGAAACAGATGTGAAACACTCTGTGGTATCTTTTATCTCAAGCCCACCGGGATACATAGTATCGACATAAGAATGGAAATAACCATTGTTAATTGACAATAAGTCGTCGATATATCTAAATGTCGAGTTGAAGGCATAGCTTAATTTAAAATCAAACCAAAAAATGATGGTTCATGCGCTTGTTTTGGCCCTACGGAGCATTTAATATGACCTTTTTGCACTATAATAACGTCTAACACATAAATAAATTATTCAAAGTTTTTCCTCCAATATTTTTTATTCAAATAAATTATGGGAACAATCACAGTCTTATTTTATCTTGAATATACACATTAAAAATTTGTGACAACAAAAACGTTTCAAATTACTTTGCCTGGTCAATTATTTGACCTTTCTGCACTCAAAAATGTCATTTTTCTTGAATTAAAAATTTAACAAGCAATAAAATCATTTGAAAGTAATGTAATTTTACAGAATTTAAGCAGAATGGTTAAAATTATCTTAAATATTCAGAAAAGAAAATTAAAAATGGAAGTCTGTGATATTAATTTTTAGATGCTACTAATAAAGTGTTGATTTTAAGCTTAAAATGGGGCTATTTTTACGAGACTTTCACGATAAATTAGCTATATTTGTCAAATATGATGATAGAATTCGCGATAGTTAATTTAATATATAATTTAGGACCAGCATAAAACAGTTCAATACACAGAATAACTCTGTGTGCAGGCTGCATGGAAAAATAGGAATAAAAACTCAATAATGTAAATACATGTATTTCAAAAGAGAAAAATTGATAATTGTAATTTTGATTAAGATTTTCTTCTAAAAATCCTTTTGCAACAAAATATATCATGACTTTTGGTATGGAATTTAATCACGAGGTTTTATTTGAATATAGTTTAATCTGCATTGTAGAATCCAAATTTATTGCAAGAACTAAAACATTATGCAGATTTTTTAAAAATAAAGATTAAGAAAAAAATTGCTCAAAAGCTCAGGAACGAAATTCTTTGACTAAAATATTATGAACACCAGGAATTGCAAGGTCATCATATCTTGTCGTTTTGTTCATCTTAAGGCTGTAGAAAGTTTCAATTTAAAAGTCACAGTGACTTAATATCAATATTCATTTTTAAATTGTTATATTTTTGAAACAAAGAGGCTTAGGATAAGACAGATTCTAAATCCCATGCCAATCAACTTGATGTCAAGAGCAGAAAATGCTTTACTGTTCGTCAATAAAACGAGTTGTTGTTATTCGAAATAACAATAATTGATGATGCAAAAGGAAAATCTGCCCCAGCTTTTTATAAGAAAAAAGAGCAAACCCTGCTTTGTTTGAATTTGACTATGACAAAAGTTTCATTCTAAATTGACAAAACAAAACAAATAAACAAACAAAACAAAACAAAACAGAGCAAAAAAAAAAAAAAAAAAAAAAAAAAAAAAAAAAAAAAACAGTAAATTTATGACACATCTATCATAATTTTTATTGACTATTTAAACATACTAAGTACATCTCATATTATGTTTTAATTATATACATTATACAAAAATTTAAATTTGGGTGGAATTTGATAAAAGTTTATTATTTAGGAGGGATATTTATTGAATAATGAAGTGTAATATTACTGATTACACTTGCTCTGATTCTGTTAGAGGATATGGGGGCTCATCATTGTATTCCCGTGTCTTTAATGACGAGTTTTCATTATTTTATCACAACTCAATTCCCTGTAGACGTATGTGGAGCTTCTTTTTTCAATACGGAAGGTCAGTCATAAATAGAGATGACGGTAGATTTATAGATTATAAATTCCATCAGGTGAACTTCTATAGGAAGTCAGGTGAATTCCAGGTATCAATTCCCATTTCTGTAGCTGTTTAAATTTCATTTCCATTTTCTTGTGTAAGAGATTGTTCGAACGAGTCTAAAGAATCCTGAAAGTGACCTGTCACGTGTTGACAAATCCCCAAAATCTGCCAGGATACAGTACCAACCAGACCCAACCTGACACAAAGCAGTCCCAGAGCAGTCCCGGGAACTGCTTTCGGAGCTTACTCAGAAATGAGATTACCAATAAACAATGTAACTATAAAAGGCAGTTGAAATTGATGACCCATTTCTTTCTGAGCAGTGCAACTTTCTCATGCAACAGTCATTTTTGAACTGTTAAGAAAATCACACTTCGCGTATAGAAACAAATAATAAATATTGAACAAAGAAGACGTTCACACCTACTAATAACATGAATATTTAAACACAGTTTTGTGGTATATTAATTTTTCTCCAAAATAAATCAATTCCTTCATTTACTGTGATTGATATTGGTTTCTATATTTATATATTTATTTTTTATAGAAAATTAAACTTTAGTTATTTATTTTCTATCAAAACTAGCTTTAAATAGACCTTATAATTATAGAGCAAGGCCGATTTCCATACTATACGCTGAATGCAGTTTTCTGAAGTGCTGGAGCTTTTGAAAAATTCTTTGAGTATTATATTTCAGTCATGATTATTTTCACTGACTTGCCAATTTAATTATCGTTAGATTATCTATGTAACAGAAAACAATTGTCATATTACTTTTATTATATAAACGTTTGAGTGTACATCTGTAAATAATGCGAATGGAACCCTCAGATTATGTTCAAAATTAATTAATCCCGAAATAAATTTATACACATTTATTGAAACAAAGATTTTTTGCAGTATATAGATTGAAGTTAGTGTCATTGTTGACCAGCATGTTCAGTGATGTGTAACACTGATACCCAAATAACATGTACTGACTTTCTGCTAATCATGCCCGAAGGCGATTGAAACCTCAGGTGTTGACACCATTTTATACATTTGTATTGCTTTTTATTAATCGGCCAGGAAAACACAAACAAAACAAATAAGAAATAAGTCACAATTCCCAATATTTTAAAATGTTTATAAATTTACTCTTTTAATAACTTGTTTATAAATCAAAAACAAATTCATAAATAAATCCCCCAATAATTGTTCACAAATATAATTGTTTAAATGACTGAAGAATGGTAGAATAATTTTATTTCATTGTCATTTAATGAATTATTAGGTTTTATTTGAGGGCGGTAAAAAATAGCATGGAATGCTCTTTTTTAGCATGGTTTTGGCTTTTTTTATTTTAAAAAAAAATCCAGTACAATACGTCCCTCTGAATATCTTATTGTAATGACAAGTTTGTTTTTTGTTTGTTTGTTTTTTTTTAAATAGTGCTAATGCAAACTTTGAGTACATACCGTAACTTGACAGCATTAATTAATTAAATAGGCCCAGATATTTTTTTTCAAACACCTGTATTAAAGTTTTAATTATTATTAATTAATTAAATAGGCCTATATATATATATATATATATATATATATATATATATATATATATATATATATATATATATATATATATATATATATATATATATATATATATATATATATATATATATATATTTCAAACACCTGTATGAAAGTTTAATTTAAGGGATAAAAGTCATCTCCTGACTTTCCTTTTAACTACCGGTATACTTTCATTTTTTAAAATTAATTCTAGACTACAATTGTGTAAATTTACAGCCCCTGAAGACATTTAGTAATTACATGTATATCTATCTCTACTTATTAAAATGTTGTAAGAAATCCTTGGTTTTTTTAATTCTTTATCTTAAACACCTCTCTGCTGAAAGTAAACAAAACAACAACAGGGAGCCTGCAAATTCAGAATACACAAGGGGCGGAGCTATCATGTCACTCAGAACCTTTTTCATGCATGAGTGAACAAAGCAGTCCCAGAAAGCAGTCCCAGGGACTGCTGGGTCTGCTTTTTAGAGCAGTCCCACAGCAGTCCCAGAGCAGTCCCACAGTAGTCCCAGAGCGGTCCCAGAGCAGTCCCAGAGCGGTCCCGGGGACTGCTTTCTGGGACTTCTTAGGTGTCAGGTTGGGTCTGGTTGGTACTGTATATCTCCTAGACCTGAATCTATAAGTACTGCTTGATCAGCGTGAACTAGGGTCTGTAGATCATCTAGAGCTGTTTGTGCTCTCGTTGTGTCTATATGTCTGTAGCACAAGATCTCTAGCATGTACAACATTACCAAGGATGGAATATATAATGTACGCACAGTGTTCTGTAAAGCAGACTGTTGTTCTGGTATCAATTCATGGATGTAAGAAGTTTTGTTGTCAAGTGTAATATCCCATGCTACAGCCTGTCTCATCTTTGTAGACCAGGAATGTCCCCCTACAGCCTCAGTATACATCTCTTCATCTACATTGAACCTATTACATTACATATGGCTGTGCTAGCTTAACCTTGATCATCTTTATAATAGATAAAGCTTCCATGTATCTAAGTGTCTTATAATAATACATGGCTATGTACCACATGTCAGTAATATAACCGAAATTTGGCTGTTATTTTCATAATGTAACAGGAGATATTGTCAGCTCTGTACCTCATTTTGTTTCCTTGAGTGTAACTTTCCATGTGTAATACAAAAGCAGTTTGCTGAAGGATATTAGCTGAATGTTTCTGTAGCAACGGGACTTGATACTGTGTTAGGAGGGGTGAAACTATCATCTGTTCTATTGTATGAAGATACCACATACTGCTTTGTTGAACTGGTGTGGATGGAATGTCTGTACTGTATATTTGCTCCATTATATTTAAATCAAATCTAGCCTCAGAAATCAGCGTATACTCATCTGTACAGATAGAGAGTATGGGGTTATGAAGAACTTTTATAATACATGACCTAATGGAGGGATTGTGTAGCAGGGATATTGTGTTCTGTTGGATTCCCAGAAAACTGCTATCTTCGTTTGATGGGAACACAGGAATTTATCATCATCACCTAATCTGACAGACCCAGAAACCCCCCAGGAGATTTTGTGGACACCAGTGAGGTATTGCATTTTGTTGAATCACCCAGAAAACTGCTGTCTTCATGTGATAGGAACATAGTGATTTATCATCTTCACTTAGTCCATTGTTAATTATTTCTGTTAAGAACAACTTGAGCAGGATATAAGTTAAGGCTTGACAGTGGTTCATTGCATACAAAAGCTTTTGTTCTGCCAGAGAAAAAGAAATTCTCCATTCATGGTCTTCATGAATTCCTAGCTTATGTCGAATTGCTAGAAAGTGACATCCATTTTGTACTATATCATCAACAACATGAGGTTGAGGCCATGTGTGACATCTGTCTATCCATGAGGAGGCAGATAGGGGCCAAAAGTCACACTTCAGAGAGTAAGCCTGATCACATGTATAACTAATTGAGGTGACACAAGGTCCATGTTGAATGCAGTCAGGTGAAATAGAACACCAAACCTGTCTGTATTTAGAACCAGATACATAATCTCTCTTATTTATTCTCACACAAGCTCTCCGGATTAATCCATGAGTGCTTGATGACATTAAATATAACAAAGTGAATCCTGGTGGACTATCAGAACAGTCACAGAGGATCAGTGTTTGTCTGTGTGTGTTGTAATACTGAGACTGAGATAATACCCAGATCACACGATGGTTATTTGGCCACAGCATAATGTCTACATCTGATCCTTGCAGTCGGAATCATTCTCTTTTACTTCACTCAACATCACGAAATACGAATGACTTTTTGTGTTTTGATTCATCAACATGTCATTGATTTCCATCATATCCCTCGTCATGGCAACCATTTGTGAAGTTCCGGCTATATCACACAGTCTAGCAAATACTGACTCCGATATACACTGTATGGCTGTCTCACTGTAATGATATAAAACACATTTATTTACATATAATACGCATTAAAACATTGCTATGACGTCATGCCTTTATTCTTGCAGTCTAAAAAAATTTCCTGTTGTAGTTCGATAATAATTACCAGTTCAATAAAATATTATCGGACGGCAGTGATGACAAAGTCGGACCGTATTAAAGAAACAGATTATAAAGTGCAAACAAGTCCATAAATAATTCCAGAAATAAAGTTAGAAAAAAAATTAGGTTGAGCAAATGTAAAGAAATTAAGTTGCTAAAAAGTAGCAAATCCATGAAGAAGAAAATCGAGTTTTTGCCTGTCTCAACAATAACATATTCCATAGAATTTTTCGCTGTTTTCGATATAGCACTGTATGTAAGCGAACTGAAATCCATTTCTGGAAAAAAAAAAGAATCTGCGAATCTCTCTATTTAACGATTTTATTCGCCGCCGCTGGCCGCACGTTTGAAAAACAAGAGATTTTCATTATATTGTTAGTCTAAAATTTAAGATTAAAACCCGTATTTATTTTTTTTCATCATCTTGTTTGTCAAAAGCTTACCTTATTTTAGAAATTGTTCGAACATGGAACATGCTCTTGCATATCGAATCAACTGGGAGATAAAACCCCCTTTTACAGGTGATAAGGGTATTTTGCTATATAAGTAAGGGACATTGGCGATAGAAGAATTTGTCATCACGTTTAACATAAAGTTTTGTTGCTAGGTTACTATCAACTTTTCTTTCTAGTAAGATATCGAAATATGAAACAAATATGTTAGACTCTGTGGTATCTTTTATTTCAAATTTACTGGGATATATCGAGTCGACATATCAATGGAAGTAGCTATTGTTAATTGATAATACGTCGTCGATATATCCAATTGTCGAGTTGAAGGCCACGGCAAATCTTATCCTCTTCTCATGTAGAAGTTTTAGAATAAATTCTGCTTCATATGAATAGAAAAATAGGTCTGCTAATAACGGGACGCAGTTGGTACCCATGGTCATTTCGACAGATTGTTGGAGGACCTGATCTCCAAAAACTTCATAGATTTTGTCATCCAGAAACTCAAGTATCTTTTTAATATCCACTTCAGAATGCTTGTGAATACAATGACAAGGTAATTAAAATTATGAGTTGAATTCCATTTTTTATTGAAATCAGCTGAAATGTTTTATTGAAATGTCAAAAAGCCTGGTCTTTAATTTATCTTGGAGAATGGTTGTATCAAGTGTTAAAAAGCCGTAGTTTTGGATGTTAACATTTTTGTGATTATAAATACTTTATTGTGAAAACAAACTATGTTGAAGATGCAGGACTGAGAACTGCTATATGAAGGGGACTAGCCTGTTTTAAGGATTACAAAACATTTCTACTTTCCATACCACTTAATTCTGCTTGTATTCTGATTTTTTTTATGTAAAAAAGGGTGTAACGATACTTACAATCTTCTCATTATTAATAATACAAAGGATGGAATAACTTCAGTTATACAATGGAGAAATGAGGGAGAACAATTGTGTGAAGCATCCTTGGAAAATTATTGAGCTACCCCTTAAATTAACTCAAGAATCTAAATTTCAATGGTTACAATTTCAAATTTTACATAGAATAATTCCTACTAAAAGTTATCTTTACAAATGAAAATTAACTGATATACCAGATTGAAGAATGGATTTTGAATAAACTAAACAGGTATGATCGCTTCGATAAGACATCAATCTTGTTCGATAAGTTTGCAAAAAGAGAACAATACAAATTTGAGAATTTTATCATTATGACCATCACACAGTACATTTTCCCAATAAGTTAAAAAAAAAACCCAACTCTATTAAGTATTGAGAATTTAAAACATGTAATTACTGACAGAATTAAGGTTGAAAAGTTTTTGCTGTTAAAAAACTGTAAATCTTAGGAATTTAAACTACTGGCAGGAAACTGATGAAAAAATGTAAACTTTAATATCATAAAATTGAAAGTTTAGTGCCCCTTATCTCTCTTCCCTCCTCTCTCTCTCTCTCTCTCTCTCTCTCTCTCTCTCTCTCTCTCTCTCTCCTCTTTTTCCCCTCTTTTTCAATCTCTTAAAAATTCTTCCACACATTTTTTGTCTTGTATTTAACTGTGAATGTTTGTACATGTATTTATAATCTATGTGACTGAAGAATAAAAAAAGTTTAGGAATCCAGTATGGGTATGGCAATTCAATTCATTTTGATTGTTGAAAATATTAAATGTATTTAAAACTGACATATGATTTTGAAGAATTTCCTACTTAGAAAGGAAGCAAATAATGTCACAGTATTGGTATAAAATGTTATAGTATCAGCATAAAATGTCAAAGTATCAACATATAATGTTTAAGTATTAGCATGTAATGTCAAAATTATCAGCATATAATGTTGGTGTATCAGTATCCAATGTTAAAGTATCACCATATAAATTCAAAGTATCATCACAACATGAACCTTATGCACATAGGGCAGCTGGGGCGTTCCATAAACAAAACTATTTATATTTTACTTTAGATTTTTCAGTTAAAAGTTATGCACTCTTGTAATAAAAACAACGTTTTATGTGAACCAATTGTTCTTAAACTTTCGTTAATTTTATAGAGACATAAATGGAGAAAACATTAGTCTTTTTGTATCACGTGTATATAAAATTAAAATGATTTCTTTATATTTAAATTATTCCTAACATTCGCCATTTGTTCCAAATTATAGTAACCTTTCTTTTAAAGAAATGGAGGAAATACTAATGTTTTTAAACGTGAAAAACTGTTAATATAAATGTACTGATTTTTACAACTTACATTTGTGAAGTTCTAATGGAGTCCATTTTTAAAAGTAAGATCTGATTTTGGGCGCTTTAATTACTGTAGATTCCTAAATATACGTGAGGAATTAATTATCGCGTAATTACGCGATAAGCACCACTCGCGAAATGAAATTCCTCACTTTTATTTTTATGGTACTGAAATCAATGTAAAATCCCTTGATCAACCGTCCACTCGCGAATTATTGTTCTCGCTATTCGACGTTAAAGAGCCATTTCGCGTTAATAAGTACTCGCGAAAAATAAGGAATCTACAGTAGTTCGGAAAATCACATCACATCTACTTTCATTTTGATAATTAAAAGTAGCATTTTTGTGATTTATAGGAAAATCCGTACACTGTATGACTCGCCTCAAACTCACGTCGAAAACTATTCGGAACAAATTATTGGTAGGACTGTATATGAATTTAAAATCACGAGAAATCGACATTTACTTGTATGAGACATCTTCAGTTTTTTTTTTTTTTTGTATTTGTACTTAGTCACGAAGAACCTGTTACAAAGTCCTTATTCAACATAGACATTCTTAATAATCAGATAATTCTAATCTATGCCAATGACGACATTATGAATCAACACCCATACAAAGTCCTTATTCAACATAGACATTCTTAATAATCAGATAATTCTAATCTATGCCAATGACGACATTATGAATCAACACCCATACAAAGTCCTTATTCAACATAGACATTCTTAATAATCAGATAATTCTAATCTATGCCAGTGACGACATTATGAATCAACACCCATACAAAGTCCTTATTCAACATAGACATTCTTAATAATCAGATAATTCTAATCTATGCCAGTGACGACATTATGAATCAACACCCATACAAAGTCCTTATTCAACATAGACATTCTTAATAATCAGATAATTCTAATCTATGCCAGTGACGACATTATGAATCAACACCCATACAAAGTCCTTATTCAACATAGACATTCTTAATAATCAGATAATTCTAATCTATGCCAGTGACGACATTATGAATCAACACCCATACAAAGTCCTTATTCAACATAGACATTCTTAATAATCAGATAATTCTAATCTATGCCAGTGACGACATTATGAATCAACACCCATACAAAGTCCTTATTCAACATAGACATTCTTAATAATCAGATAATTCTAATCTATGCCAGTGACGACATTATGAATCAACACCCATACAAAGTCCTTATTCAACATAGACATTCTTAATAATCAGATAATTCTAACCTATGCCAGTGACGACATTATGAATCAACACCCATACAAAGTCCTTATTCAACATAGACATTCTTAATAATCAGATAATTCTAATCTATGCCAGTGACGACATTATGAATCAACACCCATACAAAGTCCTTATTCAACATAGACATTCTTAATAATCAGATTATTCTAATCTATGCCAGTGACGACATTATGAATCAACACCCATACAAAGGTCAATGTTCCTCACACAAAATTGTTATGGTGGTAAATTCATTCCATTATCACAGGAAATGTACTTGAATTTCATTTTAAATTTATTTTTTTTGTTTGTTTGACATCTAATTAGAGTTCTTACTGTTTGAGTATGTACAGAGTATGTGTGAGCAAGTGACTTTTAGGGAAGTAAAAAATTCACCAAGATAACTATCTACACGACTGGTGCAATTAATTAAACTGGTATTAAGATATTTTTTCCTATATATCTTTATTCAATTATAACAAATGAAAGTGCTATAACTTACAATGATTTATTGTGAAATATGAAGATAATTGTAGTATTCCGGAATTGTGTATGTGCTACAAGGCGAAATGTAATAACAACGCAAAATGTAATAAACCGGGATTATTGCAATTTGCGCTCTTATTAAATTTTGCGTCGAGATCAACAAAAAATGTAATAACGCGAAATGTAATAACACGATTTAGATTATTACAATTTTGCGTCATTACATTTTGCGTCGAGATTAAGCA